GACCGGATCACTTGCCGACGGTGTACAGGCTGCGCCTACGCTAGCTAAATGCACGTGGCTTGGCTGGTCTAATGGTGGTACCAGCTGGGCGGCATAATCCCCRTACRTAGCACGAGAATCAGCGACTAACGCATGCTCCCCGGTAGTGACATTGATTGCTAGCAAGGCAACCGGATCCGGCGGAGTGGGGAGAGACGTCGCTCCTCTCCTTGCGTAACTCAGGTTCCCGAGTTTGCTGGACGGAGTACGCGTGCCTTGCCCTTTTCGGGGCATTGTGCAGTCAAGTGTGTGACTCCATTGCACCAAAGGCAATATATGTACTTTTGACGAAGTTCATAGACTTCCTTGGTAATGTTGTAGGCCGTCCATGGCTGCTGCCCAGTTCCCGTCGATGCCGTCTCTTGTGTCGCCTTATTCTTCCGAACTCTCTTGGGACGCTTCGGCGGGAGCGCTGCTACAATTCCGCCATCACTCAAGGTTGCTGCTGCAGCGTGGAGATCGTCTGTTTCTTCATAAATCACGGCATTGTTATGTGCCGGACGTTGACAGCCCTGCTTGGCCACATAATGCGGTTGGGATTGTTTCTCGTTAGCGGCCTTGTCGTCTGTTTGGATGACCAGGTTTGCGCGATCCAGGATAGCCTGGAACGAGGTATAGTCGTACTCGTTACCGAGTGCCGACCGCAATCCTGCGCACGATCGCGAGAAGAACTCGGATCGTTGATTTGGAAAGCTCAAATCGAAGCGTGGCGTGGTCACTATCTTCTGCCACTTGGTTGTCCAGTCTCGAGTTGGCATACTCCATTGAGAGCAGGTGTACACCTCGTTCATGGCCGCCTTCATGACGTTGCGGACCATGAACCGGGTGAACCATAGGTTCTCAAAATCCTTCCACGTGATGTGTGTGTGAAGTTCGGCGATGGTGCATGTGTGGGTAGCTGCCAGATGGTTCATCCATGCCTGCGCTCCTCCAATCAGCTGTAAGTATAACGCCTTCATTAGATAGTCGTCCGGGACAGTGCGGCATGATGCTTCCGTGAGGAAACGTTGCCACCATGCCAAAGCGTCTGTCTTGCTGTGGTCGTCGAACTTGCTGATGTCGAAGTGCGGCATCTTGTAATTCTTCGTAGTGGCGTCTGGTTTCGTCTGCAGCTTGGTGATGTCTGTCTTGATGGCGGCCACCGTGCTACTGATCGTGTCTGGCCCATTGAAAACACCTATGTCGCCGATGAGATTGACGACATGATGGATACGCCCATTGAGCTGCTTCGTCGTGTCTTTCATATCTGGCGTGCAGCCTGGCGCTGCTTGGGGAGGCCTTGCCTCCAAGGTAGCAATGCATGCATCCAGCTGTTTCAGCTGGTTGTCTGCGACCTTGACAGCTGCTGCAAGTATCTTCACGTTGTGGCTCAGATGGTGCTGCAGCTGCAGTGTGGACCGGCAATGCAGCTCCCCCATGGAGCTGTTCCAAATGACGGCGCGCATTGTATGGAGTAGAATATCTGCCAGGTCTTGCCTCTCTTGCTGTACTTGTGTCGGCTCGCTGCCGGGTACTGGGACATAACGCATCCCGTTGAGCACTGCTGTCCATTGTGCTTGGTTAGCACTTACAAGTTCAGCGCTGCCGGCGTTGAGCTGATCGATCGCCAACTGGTCTGCCTCGGCTTGACGCCGGGTTTGTGCTGCAGCTTCCTCTACTAGCCGTAGTCTTTCGGCTGCGGCAGCCTCTTGCTGTTCCTTGACCTGGGTGAGTGCGGCAGTGTAGTCCTGCATTCTCTGAATGAAGTCCGGGAGGGGCTTATTTGACCCTTGCACCGGACAGACCGGTAAGGGTTCGGCATTACTAGCTGTCAAACCCTCGGATGATGATCCGCTGTGTGGCATGTTCGCCATCTGAGTACTGGTCTGTGGTGGTTGTGGAACTGGAGGTTGCTGTCGCTGTTGGAGATCGGTGATCCTCTTGCTGCGTCGTGGCTGCTGTTCGGACGCTGGCCCTGCTGGCATCAGAAACTGTTGCTGAAGACTGGCTCGTCCGAAGGATCGCAGAACAGTGTGAGGGAGAGGGTGGGCACAGGGATAGAACAGATCAAGCAATATTCATACAGTCCCTGTCCCAAGGGTGGACTAAGACACCTAATCAAATGGGAAAAAAATACATTTTCCCGTAAACAATTCGAAAAATTCGTAATAAGAAGAATAATAACGAATTATTTAATCAATAAATTTAATTAATGGTTAATACGAAAGAATAATTCTTAATGATAATCAATAAACGATCTTTGCAATAATGATTTCTTAACGATAATCAATTAAAACAATCTTTGCAATAATGATAATGAGCGAATTTGAATTGTTATCAAGATCAGGTATCCATTGAGATCATCTTTGAGTCCGGGAGTTCACCGTTAATTAGTGAACTACCCGGAAGTTGCAATGCTGAGGGTCAGAGTCGGATTAGTTTGCCAAAAAAAAAAAAATTCGGACCAAAATCAGGAGAAAAACACTCGAATTTCCAAAAAACGTGAATTTTTGGGAATTTCCACCGTCAAAATCCGATTTTTAAAGGCCTAAACCTGTTTCAGGAATTTCTCAAACAAGGGGAACGAAAAAAAAAATTCGCGAAAATTTCGGTCCCAACCCTAATTTTCCGCGTTTCAGCGGAATTTCCGGATTTACGGTCCCAAAACGTTCGAATTTCCCCAAGTTGATCTAAAACCAAAAGATTTTCGTAACCCTAATTTCCAATACTGAAAGACAACGGAAATCCAAAAGAAAACGAAATATAGGATTTACAACAGAATGCCGAAAAACGGAATGCTGAATGGAAATCAGAAAGCCGAATTTCAACATGATACTGATTCAACCCTAATACATGTAAAATCAGACATCCGAATCTTAACCTATTATCGGATTAGTATCACTCAAGCGGAACCCAAATAAACAGCATACCGGAAGAAGACAGGAATCCGAATTATAAGTCCGAATACCGAATTGAAACGGCAATGCCGAAATGAATAGAATACTGAAAAAGGAAAAAAAAAAAAATTTGCAACTTTGAACTCGATAGTAATTCAGAGCTGATTCGGATGATTGAAACAACAATCTACTTCCTAACCAGACTTACCTGGTGAGCAGATCTGTGAAATGGTCTGCTCCGATACCAAAACTGTTACATACTTCAATGAGTATGGGCAGAACCAACGATCAACCAATGTAGGATGAGCATATATGCAGCGGAAGTCTGATAAACGGACTGACTCACATAGAGTGACTCACATAGACTGACTCATATAGAATCACTCCACACACATACAATCGTGAGATGGTGGGGTCTGGGCCAAGCATGGACGATGCCCAGATCCCGTACACACATACACAGATGAAAGGTGGGAGGAGAGACGAAGGAGGTGGGGGAGGTAGACAGCACCGATAGGTCACCGATATGGTAGTCCAAAATGTCATCCAACAAGATCAAAATGTCGAGGACAATCAGTCACCAATGTCGGAGATACAGAGTCCAAATGTAACCGGTGTCCGAACTGTGATGCCGCCAAGTATCAACCCCAACAATCTCCAAGTCTCCAATCCGGTAAGTACCACAGTCTCATACCACCGAAGTCCAACACTGATCTCTGTCCAACTTGTATAAGTCTCCAATCTGAAGAAGAAGAAGAAGAAGAAGAAGAAGAAGAAGAAGAAGAAGAAGATGAAGATGAAGATGGGAGCCGAGGAGAAGAGAGAGAGAGAGAGGGGACTGGCGAGGGGAGGGAGGAGAGAGGCCTCCAACTCCCGATACCTCAGGCGGCTATGGCCGCCGGTACACTCAGTCGCCGCTGCTGCTGCTCGCTCGCTGCTGCTGCGCTAATGCTGCGCTGCTGCTCCTCGCTGCTCCTGCGCTAAACTTAGCGCCAGCGCTGTATCGCGCTGTACCATACCGTACCGGTAGAATGCCGGTAGGTCGATAGCCTCAATGAGGCTGGACCGGTACTTTTGTACCAGTGGGGCAGAGGCCGGCCTCAATGCTGCGAGGCCTGGCCGTGCCCTGGACCGTCAAGATGGACGGTTCAGCCCCAACCGGCGGGTGGCAGCCTCAAGATCGCCGCCAGGCCCAAACGGTAATGTCGTTTGGGCCTGCCCGTCGGGTCTGGTCCAAAGTAAGGCCTTTACGGCCTGTAGTACCCCAAGGTCGGGCCTTTAGGCCCTGTGTCCCTCTAACCCTGAGTCGGGTCCGGTAGGACCCGTGTGGCGTCGAAGATGTAACACATCCCCTAAGGGAGGTTTGGAGCTCTTGGTCCTTCAGCCAGTCCTCGAGATATGTGGACCATAAATCATACATCCGGCGCATCTAGATGCGCTGCACCGCGCATCGTGCAACTGCATGCGGCGCACCTCTGAAAATGGGGGTCGAAAAAAAAAAAAAGTTGTGAGGGCCGGTAGTAGACCCGGCCCCCTGCTCGCGTAAAATAAGAAACGGGCAGCCAAATTATTTTTGGAGGCCGCGCTTTGGCCGGAAAGCTCTTAGTAAAACCTGTAGTCCGTGTAACAGTGTGTGTGTATGGTAGGGTTCTTGCAGTCTGTATGGTAGGGTTCTTGCAGGCCAGATTCAGTCATGATGAGGGTCGCGATCTCTCAAAATGTTCGCTTCTTATTACTTCTGAAGTAGAAAGCGACGGAACTGACAGCCGTTTTTCCTGGAGTTTTTTGCTAATAATAAAAAGAAAAGAATGTAAAGGAAGAAAATCAGAATGACTTACCTGTGGCCCGAATCCCTGAGAAGAGGCACCAACTGTGAGAAAAGAGAACGAATCTTCAGCTAGAACATGGAAAGATACATCGCCCTCGGTTTTCTCTTTTGATCATGTGGTGAGTCGTGGAGTGAAGCCCCGCGCGTCCAACCTGTCAGAACCTCAATGGGACTATTCACCAACGGCCTCGCTGCACTACTCTCGACATGCACACAAGACAGATATGGCAATGTATCTTTCCATGTTCAAGCGGAGGATTCAATCTCATTTGTCCAGAGATTCTCCAAAAAAAAAAACACAAAGGTTCCAGAGATACGTTTTGTGCTTACCTGAGGCCTGACACTAGCACTTCCAGAAATGTATTTGATGGCACTTACGGCCAGACTTGGACGAATCTGACCTCGATCACGGCCAGAGTTTAGTAGAAAAGGTCTGAGTGTACGGCATACTCACACTCGGACTTTTTCTACTAAGCTCTGGACGTGATTGCGGTCAGATTCGTCCAAGTCTCCGATGGCATACCTTCTACATCAGCATGCGCCGCCAAAACCATCCGTCGTGGACGCGTGCTGAGGCCAAACGGATCTCTCTCTCTCTCTCTCTCTCTCTCTCTCTCTCTCTCTCTCTCTCTC